CTTATTGTTTTTAGAAATTTCTTATTTCACCTTTAATTTAATATATTTATTAGAAACAGTCTCTCGCACTCAAAACAAAGATTTATATGCATCAACCATGCATTGTTTACATTGACCATGTTGACAGCGTAGGTCGACTTGTGAAAATATATATTGAAATATTTTTACGATGACAATCAAAAAACTGTTGGATGCATGCGTTTTCAGTTTTTGTCTTACCTTAAAGCAGCATAGAATCAAATATTTTGTCTTTTTGATAATGTGGATACATGCTTTTTGTTTTGATAAAATTTCGAAGTTACGAAACAAAATGGCGACCAAACAATTTTCAAACGTAGACGATGTTCGACACTTATTTTGCCCATGCAAATAACACAATTTAATTTCACTGTTTATATTGCAATCAAATATGACACGTTATTGTCATTCTAATAATACCCAAGGACATAGCTTGATTAAGGAGATATTAAGTCATCAACGTGATCAAAGAAAACAAACACGGCACCTAATCACGATGTAAGATCATGTAAGTTTTGACAAGACTTATGTAGATTAGTATGGTCCGATTCTTTTAGAAATTATTTGATGGTATTATTTTATATTAAAAAAAACCATCGAAACCCGAGGTGAAATATCTATATTTTTTCAATTTTCTAAATCATTCATCACACGGGTTACCAGTAAATTTTTCATAATCCTAATTAAACCAGTTACATGCAGAGTTATCGAACGTAATTATGACTGTTATAGTTGCATATGGGATATACTTCCATTACAGTTTTTTATATTTCTTGCCAAATAACGAATTTCAGCTTTGGACAGAAGATACCAGCTTGGAATTTTCAAAATGTTTCTAATTTTCTGTTCTGCACGATCGTAATCACGTTCACTCATATCTGATTGGTTAAAATGCAATGTATCTATTAACAACATATTTGATAAAATTACACGGATCATGCTAAAGCAAGGAGAGCAAGTTCCCCTTATATTAATACTTCATTTAAATCAAATAAACACATTAAAATTGCATAAGTAGTGTATTTCAAAAATCAATAAAGGTAGACCTGTCAATGTGAGAAGGTTCATTTATTGATGATGAAATGTTATTTGATATTCTAAAAGTATTACACATCAAGGTTTTCTGTATGATTAAAATATCTGTTCCTGTAGGGTTATTTAGAACAGGACTCATCAGCTCTGGGTCGCTAACTGTAGTAGAACTTTTGTCCGTTATTCATTTCTCTTGCTCGGAGAGGGGAGAATTGCAATTTTAATCAAAATCTAAAATTGATTCACAGTGGAATCCCCCGTGTCCGCGCGGCCTGTGATATCGCGCATTACCTTATTTCGTCATATCCGCAATGTAACACAAATAGAACCGTTCTTGTAATTGTTTTAGTCTTCCGAAGGGACGAAAAAGAATAAAATTGATAAGTTCAAGCATTTTATAATTGCAATCCCATGATTAACCATTATGATATTTAGCCATTTTTCATTACAAAAATTACATCACCAGATACAATTGGTTTCATTTAAAGTCAATTTTTTATCAAAATGAAATAAATTTTGCTCCGCACCCTTGGAAGTCTATTTAGTTCAAACTGAACTATATTTCGTAGTATAAAATCTTTCCTGTATTCAAAATTTAGCTATTTTTAGACGGCATGCGCGAAATCACCGGACATTTGAAAAACTGTCAAAATAGGGGTTTTCCTAATTTTGGACACACATTACATAAAATCTTATTGGTGAAACCATACATAAAGAAGATTTCATGAGATTAAATTATGTCATGAATTTTTTCACACAATATTATCTGCTTATTGGTTTTATGAGATTACCAAAGAGAAGCCAAAAGTCTTAGGTAACAATATTATCTGCTTATTGGTTTTATGAGATTACCAAAGTGAAGCCAAAAGTCTTAGGTGCGCGGATACACCGGAATGCACCGTAACTTTAAAGTGCAAATTTGAAACTATATTCATATTTGTTCTATTTTAAGGAAAGTAACTCAAATTAAACGAAGTTTCATTCCCGTTTAACTTAACTTAATTTATTTTTTTCAGTTGTTTATGCCACGAATAAAAGCAACAAGAAAGAATGGCGTTCGAAAGTCTCCCATGCTCCAATCAGTCGTGTTAAAATAACATGTCAACTGTTTCTTTTTTACGATGTTGATCAGTGCTCTCTCTTTCTATACTAAAAAAAAATAAAATATAAAATACGTTGTTAATCATGCAAAATGGATCAAGAAGGAAAGTAACACAAAGTTCTAAATAAGAAATGTTAGTACATTAAGCATGCAAAACAATTAATGAAACTGCATAAAGAAGGGGTTAATGAATTTCAAATAGTTTATTTACTGAAACTATTATTATCTCTGCGTAGTACTGTGGTGATATCTGACGATCTTATTAGTTGGTCGTTTGACATTGTCAAATGTATAAGCATTTTTTTTTTCATGAAAAAAAATTATGCAAACTACTGTACAATAAATGTCAAGTGCCTATAGAAAAAAAAAAAAATATATGTGATATTTTGTATCCTCAATTCATTCATATCAGTATAAGATGCAAGCAGGCCCGAGAACAGTTATTTCGTAGCGCATTTCTTTTAGACAAAAAATTTAAATTAAAAAGATTTTTACAGTGTAGTGTACTACGATTGGGACAAATAATATCAAAATTATAGAAAAGTCTACCAGCTCTAACTTAAAATATTGACAATTCTATGTTAAGGGGGTCTAAAATTTAGTTTGACAGCTTCAGACATACTAGTTTTTGACCTTTTTGAACTGGACCAAATCACTACTTAACATAAAGATTCAGCACCAAAATTTTTTTAACATGTAACTTCATCGATTTACTTAATATTTCATGCATAAAATATAAAGAAATAAATTTGGAAAATGTATGAAAAAAATTTGCAAGTTATACACTGTTCACACTAGGGACTATATTTGTAGACAACGAAAATCTAAGGACGATAACTGTGTCCTCGGACCTAATAGTATAACCTTTATTTGGAAACATGAAAGTAATACATTTTGAAATTATATAGTCGAACCTCGTTGTGTCGAACTCGGTTGTGTCGAAAACTCGGATGAGTCGAAGTAATTTCTCGGTCCCGGTAAAATTTCCGTTTGATCAATATATAATTACCTCTGATGAGTCGAACTCGGTTGATTCGAATATTCGGTTATGTCGAGTAAATTTTATAGTCCCGTCGATATAAAATAAATGTAAATTGACCCCGATGTCTCGAAGTTCGAAAGTAAAAATTTTCGAAAGATGCAGACCTAATGATAAAAACTCAAATCGGATGTATTTCTTATGTAACCTAATCATTTTCAAAAGAGATTAAAGCTGAGTAAACATACTTGTTTGTATAACAGTTAAATTGACTTGTTTATGGTTGCCGGTAGTTAACACCTTTGTTGATTGTTCAAGCGGAACTTTAGTGTGTTGAACATATTTCACATGAGATAAAAACGAAACGAATTTAAATGACACTAGCCGAGATTAAATCAATCGTTAGAATTAAAACTCATTAATTACAATAAATAAAGGATTAAGACAATTATGATAAATTCATGATAATTTAATGTACAGCAGACACCCTCATCAGAGACTGTTCAGAACTTATTTCGTTCCACGAATGATTTCATAATTTATAGTGACTGACCTTTATAAATATTTGTGTTGAATATTGATTTTATTTGTGCATGATTTGTATCTGTTCTTGTGTGCTTGATTATTATGAAGGACCAACAATGGCGATTTCATACACAATTATAAAGTGTGTCATATCGAAAAAAAGCACACTGTTCAAAGTATCTAGTTAACGCAAATCTCATACCGTATTTCTTGCATTACAAATTTTTGACGACACACTCGACCTCGGATGAGTCGAATACTTTGGTCCGGTCCCTTCGACTTCGACACAACGAGGTTTGACTGTATAAACAAATGACGACAGAGTGAATAAAATATTTTGAGCAAACAATGCAACATGTTTGGTCAACTTAATTCTGAAATAAACGTTTTTCAAGCACAAAAACAGAACAAAAACTGTTTTATTGACGCGAAACATTAAAACGTCAAACTGCTATTAAAAATAGATCTCATTTAGCTTTCATTCCCACACCTTGACTATGAGGTTTATACATTCTATGTTAACTTACGTGTTAAAATGATAGGCAATACAATCCCTAGCGAAACACCAATAATAATTAATATCTGTAAGTATCGAAGTTAAGGAAATTGTAGCGTCTGGTTTTTTTTATTACATTGTATGTAATTATCCAATAATAAATTAGAAAATTGTGTATTTTACTGTAATATGATATAATGTATTATCAAAATTAGGATATTATCAATGAGACAATTATCAGCCAATAGGTCAAAGTCAAGGATGTCCAACAACTACAGGACACCGAACGGTCTTCAAAATTAACAAAACCCATACTGTATATACGTCATTGCAAAAAGACGAAAAAAAACAAAAGACAAACAGCAGTATACAAAAAAGGCAACAGTAGTATACCGCTGTTCAAAAGTCATAAATCGATTAAGAGAAAACAAACACAACATAGTAAACTAAAGACTGAGCAAAACAAACCCCACCAAAAAACCGGGGTTGACTTCAGATGCTTCGGAAGGGTAAGCAGATCCTGCTACACATGTGACTCCCGTCGTGTTGCTCATGTAAGTACACACCCGTTAATGAGTCTAATTCGGTAGGTCATAAAAGGGGTCACAAAAGGAGGACGGGATTGTGGTTACGACGATTGGAATAGAGAATGGAAACGGGGAATGTGTCAAAGAGACAACAACCCCACCAAAGAACAGAAAAAGGCCACCAACGCAGCAAGAAAATCACGCACTCGGAGGCGGGTTTCAGCTGCCCTAAACAAAAATGTATACTAGTTCAGCGAAATGGACGACACACTAAACTCCGAAATGTACAACAAAAACAAAATAAAAAAAAACATATGAAGGATACGATTAGTGCATTTAGTAGTATTTTATAACATACACTTCTGCAGCCCTGCAAAAAAAGGAAATAGCTAAATCAATCAACTAGTTATTAACAGATTAAACAAATGAGTCAGACTCATATTCCTTAATTTTATACAGACACGTTCAAGAAAAGCACTGAGTTAATACCTGTTTTACAGCGCAAAACCTCGTACTTTAAATTTAAAGATTGAAAAAAAACACTCAATTTAAGTATCAAAACTTAGAAATAACGTTTACAAAGATGAGTAGATCTTTGAAAATAAAATTGTAAACAAAATGTAAACAGTGTACAAACATAAAATTTCTTATATGATATGGGTTTTCTCATTATTGAAGGCCGTACGGTAACCTACAAATGATAACATCCTCGTCCTTCGATTTCTAGTCTCATTGGCAAGCATACCATATCGTATTTTTATACTAAAGTTATGGAACGCCACAGCTATCTTATGTGGAACTCTGATATTACTTTATGTTGTTTTATTATTACTTGATGATAATTTGTCTTTACTCAATATGGTTTTGACATTACGTAATGATGTTTTGATATAACTCAATATGGAATAGTCATTACTTAATGATATTTCGATATTACACGATATGGTTTCGTATTGATTTGATATAGTTTTGTAATTACTCAATATGGTTTTGTCATTACTCGATGTGGTTTCACCATTATTTAATGTGGTTGTGTCATTAGTCAATGTGGTTTTAACATTACTTGATGTGAATGTGACTTAACGTTATGTAGTTGTTTCATTACATGATGTGGTTTTGTTATTTTGTAATGATGATCTGCCTATTATTTATATGGTTTTAACATTACGTAATGATGTTTCAAAATTTGACGATTTTACACTACATGATGTGTTTGTTTCATTATTTAATGTGGTCCTGTCATTCTTTGATGTGGTTATCCCATTACTTGATGAGGTAAAATCACGTGATCAATTCGGAAAAACCTGTTCTATTTTTAGATAGATTTCCATGTTGTATGTGCCTTGGATGAGTGTGGCCATCCATCGAATTAGAGTTCAAATTAAAGTTCGGGTTACTGTTTGAGTTATACTTTGAGTTAGTCTTCGATTTCGAATTCAAGTCATTATTAGAATTAAAGTTTTAGTTAGCATTGAGTTTCGAGTTGGACTACGAGTTTGAGTCACATTTAAAGGTCGAGTTCTAGTTACAACATTAGATTTGAGTCACTTTTTGAGTTAGATTCGAATTTAAGTCTCATTCAGATTAATTAAGATTTTGAGATGAAATTCGAGCTATCTTATATGAGTTCGTAATTAAATTTTCTATCGCGGAACAAGGACTTTTGCTCGGGCTTCCGAAAAGAGGGCTCCGGGGTATGCGTACAAAAGATAAACTATGTTACAGTATACAAAACGCAACATAGAAGTTGAAATAAACTTATATGTGGTGTGATTGACAATGAGACAACTATCCACCAGAGTTTAAATGCAGTGGGTGTAAGAAATCATATATAGACAACCGTACAGCCTTCAACACACCGTATAGTCAGCTACAAAAGGCCACCATGCACCATGTGAAAAAATTCAAACGATAAAACAAACGGTCTTATTTATATTTAAACAATCTACAACAAAAAATGACACACATTTATACAACGACAACAATTGAACTTCATGTTCCTGACTTGGGGCAGGTACATAAAGACCTGTGGCGGAGTTTACCATGTATGTGAGCGCTAAATCCTAACCTTAAATCGGACTGTTACAGTTGTGTAAAGCACAAAACGAGAGAAAAAATGTAAACTAGACAAAGTGATGCCCCCGCACTCAACTCATTTAAATTAACCGCTTATACCCCAAAAATGACAAAAAAAAGATCAATTATCTCCCAAAAGAACAAAAGATAATAAAATTAAAAACCCAGACCACATGCACACCTTTAAAAATTGTACAAACAGCCAGCAGAGTGAAAGCCTCCTAGCATTCAAACTGTAGGAGGAGTTATCTGGAAACGCTCTTCTTATGCAAGTAAATTTCCCAAAAAAAATACAAAAAAAAGTTCAACTATCTCCCAAAAGAGCAAATATTAATGAACATTTAACCCTGACCACATGCACACCTTCAATATATGTACAAACAGACAGTAAAGAGAAAACTTCCTAGGATTCAAACTGTAGGAGGAGTTATGCGGAATAACTATTTATCTATAATGGGACGGACAGACGGACGGACGGACGGGCAGGGGTAAAATAATATGCCCCCCAACTTTCAGTTGCGGTGGCATACAAAACAGTTTCATTTGGCTGACTCAATAGATCGGTATGACTGGGTAATATAAATCCATCGGGGTGATCTCGGATGCTCCAGAAAGGCACCCATCGTGTTATTCGAGAAAGTACAAACCCAGTGATTTGGTTTTATTTGGTAGTTCACATTCAAGGAAAAGATGACAGTATTATGGTAACGACCACTGTAACATGTCCGTCGTCACATGTGAAACAGATATTCCAAAAAGTTTATTTTTCAATTAGTGCGAGGTAGATCAGGGAATTCAATTGATTACAAATAAAAGATTGATATTCATATAAGTTCAAATGATCATTTACGCTAAAAAAAAAAATCGGAGAATTCTTATTTTATAGTATTTATGCTTTGTCGCTAAGTCCGAGCCCCCTCCCCCCGTTTCCCTGTAACTTTAGTGTGAGTTGATTTGAAGTGTTTCATTTGTTAACAATAAAGTTCAAGTCTTTTGATTTGTGTCGAGCCTGCGACATCAATGTAGCAGCAGCGAGACACAACAAACCTATATTTCGTCGTCGATAGTGGCGTCAGCGTCTCCATCTCCATTTTTTAAATTTCTATTGAGTTTAACCTTTCATTATACATGTTACTAAACATGTATGCCATCATAATTTTGTACTTTTAGAATATCATACTGTATTTGTTTACCTCAACTATTGTATCTGTATTTATATTGTATGTTTCTCTGTAAACTTGTAATTAATTTTTAGAGAATAAAGTATCTATCTATCTATAGATCGTTAGGTTTCTAGTTTTTTACATTTTCCATTTCGGGACCTTTTATAGCTTACTATAGGGTATAGGTTTTGCTTATTGTTGAAAACCATACAGTTTTGTTTTAGTTAAATAAAACCGAATTAACCTGTTTTGACATGATAAATTTGTAAACCTCCATGAAGTGTTTTGAAACTTGTATAGGAGTTATTCCTGAATTTCAAGAAAAAGCATCTACAGAAAAACATTTCTTTTTTAATTTTGTTTTTACCGATAAATGTATAGATAAATGTACAGCCGATCGACATGACGCTTTTACACTTACAGCAGCAATATCAGGCGAGACACAGGGTTCCGTGGAATATTTTACAAATTTATTACAAAAATACTGCTTCCGTTTGAGAACTTAAGATAATAAAATGCTCCGCTTGGCGCAGCTTGATACGACCGCAGAGATCGAACCCTGAACAGTTGGGGCAAGTATGGACACAACATTCAAGCTCGATACAGCACTGAATTTGGATTGTGATTAAATATTTGACACAGCATAGGTTTCTGACACAGAATGAATGTGGTCTAAGAACTTAAAAAAATTTAATTTACCTATTCAAACTATATCATTATTATTTGCTTTTATATATAATAAATCAGAAATAACCAATTTAAAATGGCAAATTTTAAAGAAAAAAAAGGAAAAAAAATCCCCCCCAAATTTTTTGAACCCCCTTATGATTTATCACCCCAAACTCAATCCCAGCCTTCCCTTTGTGGTATGGTACCTTGCAGTACAATTTCAGAGAGATCCATACACTTGAACACAAGTTATTGTCTGGAAACTAGAAAAATGCTTTTTTTTTGGCCCCTTTTTGGCCCCAAATTCCTAAACGTTTAGAGCAATTACCCCCAAACTCAACCCAGCTTTTCTTTTGTGATATGGAACCTTGTAGTACAATTTCAGAAAGATCCATACACTTACACATAAGTTATTGTCATGAAACTAGAAAAATGCTTGTTTTTTGTCCCTTTTAATTCCTAAAATTTGGAGGCAATTACCCCCAAAATCAATCCCAGCTTTCCCTTTGTGATATGGAACCTTGTGGTACAATGCCAGAGAGATCCATACACTAACACACAAGTTATGTCTGGAAGTTACAAAAATGCTTATTTTTGGTCCCTTTTTGGCCCCTAATTCCTTAACTGTTGGTACCATAACCCCCAAAATCAATCCTAACCTTCCTTTTGTGGTATTGCACCTTATGGTAAAATTTCATAGAGATCCATTCACTTAAACTAAAGTTAGAGTGCGAAAACCAATGTGTCTTCGGACGACGACGACGACGCCGGACGACGACGCCAACGTCATACCAATATACGACCGCAAAATTTGTATGCGGTCGTATAAAAACAACAAGACAAAGTGGTTTGGGGATATCCCAACTATTTCCGAAATACTGTAAACTTTTTAATACTTTTTTTCTTATTATTGTCTGCCGTTCTCCTTTTTCATACCAAATAACTCTGAACAACGACTCGAACTTTAATTTTAATTTTAACTCAATGGATAGCGATACCCATCCAAAGCACATTAAATAAATGACATATTGAAATCTGTTTAAAAATAGAACATATTTTTTTCCGAATTGGTCACGTGATTTTACCTCATCCGGTAATGAGATAACCACATCAAAGAATGACAGGACCACATCAAATAATGAAACAAACACATCATGTAGTGTAAAATCGTCAAATTTTGAAACATCATTACGTAATGTTAAAACCATATTACGAAATAACAAAACCACATCATGTAATGAAACAACTACATAACGTTAAGTCACATTCACATCAAGTAATGTTAAAACCACATTGACAAATGACACAACCACATTAAATAATGATGAAACCACATCGAGTAATGACAAAACCATATTGAGTAATGACAAAACCATATAAAGTCAATACGAAACCATATCGTGTAATATCGAAATATCATTAAGTAATGACTATTCCATATTGAGTTATATCAAAACATCATTACGTAATGTCAAAACAATATTAAGTAAAGACTAAATATCATCAAGTAATAATAAAACAACATAAAGTAATATCAGAGTTCCACATAAGACAGCTGTGGCGTTCCATATAAAGTCTATGTTTTCCTTTATATCTGTATTATTTATTTCAATAATATGTACCATTGTATTGACAAAGTTTATCAAAATAAAGATATAAATAAAACAAAAATATGTGTCTATAGGTAACGATGTCTTGCTCACACTATCACAATTCCATGTTTAGTGAACCGCAGAATCTGGGTTAAAATCCTAATTTGACATATATTTTATAAAAAGTCCACATTCTAATGAACAGGCATAATAAAAACATCATCATGTGATTATAAATTTTGATATCTCTAATATTAATTACTTTCACTGATAAAAGTTATCTTTTGCAGTTAATTCTTGGTAATTTGTAGAAGTGCTGACCTCATCAGTTTAAAGATAAAACAGACTTTGCTGACACAATTTATAGTCTTAGCACGTCAAAAATTATGGGTTGTAAAACTACTAACACATTTTATGAATGACAACATATCATCCGCTCATGTTAAGAAGGTGGAATCCTGACTAGAGGGGAATGTCTGAATTAGCTTTAGTTATATAATTGATTCTGACTGCATTACAAATTATACTGGTTTGATTGTCGAGTCTACTGCCGGAGTGTGCCATGCACTTTTAGGTAAAAAAGACATTGTTACAGCTCACACAAGGGATGTTAAGTGGCATAGTAGGCCACAGACCACAATTAAATTCCTCTATTAGTTCTTTATAACGTTTTGTCTCATTAAAACAATTGCATCATGCCTTTTTGTCAAATCTTTTGTGTGTGTAATGTATAGTACTAGTCCAAAAATATATCCAAAATTCAGAAAGATTGAACCAATCACTCTCACAAATTTAGCCAATACACATCCATACCCCTATGGACAAGTCAAGATATGTTCCGAAAACTGTAAATATGACCTTTTTGCACCTGGCCTAATCACTCTTTCCATATCAAAATCAGTTAAAATGCAACATCCAAAAGTTTATTTCACCTCTCTTCTTTCATTTCCAACCAAAACAAACTAAGAAATGAATGTGGAATGGAAAGAAAAAAAAATAAGAAAAAATACACTCTAATTAAAAGGAACTATATTCGTGGACAACGAAAAGCGGGGTCATTAATTGTGGTCTTGAGCCAGTATAAGTAAAACTTCCATCATGCTCTTTTTACTGGGGCTGTTAATATTTTCTACACATCCTTTAAATTCTTATATGCAAAAAATATGCCAGTTATTTGTATCACTCGAATTTCAGCAGTCATTCATTTATAAAGCCACCTTTATTTTGTAAAATTTACTATTTTCAAAATAAAAAGTAAAGAAATTATAAAAATCTGTCTATCAAAGAGTTTTAAAAGTTATTAATTATTCGGATTATAATTAAATGTTATCAGCCTCTAGTATCAGTGCTTAGATATGTGCCTTATGCATATTATTTCAGTATTTCATGTCGAAACTAACTTCCATAAAGATTTAATGTGTTATCTAGATGACCATTTTTCACTTGTGTCTTTTTGTACCCGATTTTTGTCGTCACAACATCATGATGAACTCATTAGGTAAGAAGAACATAGCAGACAAGAATGGCGTTCGGATTTGTAACCTATTGTATTAAGGTATGGAAAATTGCAACGATCAAAATTTTTTTACTCTCAGATTTGTGGAAACACGCTTTAAGTATATTACCCTGTCATCTAAAACAGTAGGAGTAGGTGTGCGATTTACTCTCAAATTCTTTATTCTATCTATCTGCTGCTGAGTAACACCTAGGACAATTAAACTGTCTGTTTTTGTATTCCATTTGGTCTGAAATTCACTATACGGAACTATTCCTGTTCTTATGTCCTGCATTTCTTGATTGAATACATTCAGTCTCTTTAATGCTTCCATGTTTAATCCATCAATCATTGAGAATTCGATTATAAGGAAACATATAACATTCAGATCAAGATTCCTAAATGTTGTGCATGTTGTAATAACTTGACAAATACAACCTGACTTCTTGCAACTATTTGTTTTTTCGTCTTTATACAAGAAACTCCATTGTCTTTTGGTCAATGTTGCCGATATTGGGTATGTACAGTTAGCATGCAGTGAACAGCAAGTTGTATTGACACGAAAACAGTGCACGATACGATGTTTGTTAGTCTCTAGGAATTGGTAGAACGATACTGTATTTTCTCGAAGATGATTTTCGAGAATCTTTTCACACGTTGGATATACTAATCGATTTAATAGTTCATTCAGACGCTGGTAATTTTCCTTTCCTGATGACATGTTTCTTGCATCGACAAAAATAACTTGAAATATTATCTTATTGGTCGTGTCTGTGTCTATCTCTACTATTCATGACGTTGCTGTATGAAATTTAACCCGAAAGGTAGCTGCCAAAAATAATTGATGACAGATTATGTACTTTGTGCTTGCTTTCATTCTTTGATACGGTTCTATTAAGTATTGTTTCATTGTATCTTTGTTTTCGTTGTTTATCATACCGGCATCGTGCATTTATGTGCTTTTTTCTGAACTGATTTTCATTGCTTTTTTTTTTTTTTTTTTTTTTTGTTTGTGTGTGTATGCCTTTTGTAATTTCACTGCTCAAAATTAAGAGGAAAATGTTTGAATGTTAAAAAAACTTGTAGGTTTAAACCCATCACACCCGTCCCATACGTATGTGTCTGTTTTCCCATGTTATGAATCTCGTTAGTGGTCTTTAGTTTTATCATTATGTTTTAGTCAATTAAGACGTTTGACTTTTGACAAAATTTTGAAAGCGTGTTAAATTTATCAACTTTTTTGTATCCTTTTATTCATATCTTAAAGTATACGTGACTTTGAAATTGTAAAACAAAAACATGAATATATATATTTGAAAACTCTTACCTTTATTTTTTGGTCAATATTCAAAACATTGTGTTAGACTTACAAAGCGATCCACATAAGTGAATCTTTATTGTTTTCATTGTTCTATTTAAATTTTTGCACTTTGAATAAAGAAAATTAGAACGTACCAGCGTAATGTTAAAATCTCATTGGCCTTGTAATCGATACCTTTGATTTATGTCTTTGTTATACCGATAAACATGTGTGTTAACAACACCAAATTTCTAAAAAAAAAAATCCTAGTAATAGTATAAGTATCTTCAGTTTATAAATTATGGTAATATACAAAAGTCATTTCAGCTTTCAGTCCAGGTATAAGAATAAGAGGGAGACAAGATGTGTCGACATGGAAGGCGTCGCCTAATATGCCAGCACTACCGGCTTCAATGCGAATTTAATTCATATACAGTCCTTAGCTTTTGTCAAATCTAAGAAAATGACAAAACTGTCGATAATACCAGATAGGCGATAGAAGGCGTGTGATATCGTTGACATAATCATGAAGTTTCTCTAGTAAAGTGAGACACTGTAATGATCACCCATTTAATCATGTCGAATGTAGATCTGTAGTTTTAAGTGATGACGAGTTTATCTTCCTCGTATTCCTGATTGATATGAATTGAACGAGATATTGGGTAAACATCACTGATAAAACTCAACAAAACAGGAAATATTTGAGTTCCTCTTAATAAAATCGCAACTTTGAGAAAAATATCTTGAATGTCGAATTAACTGACAAGTTTTGATCTGCTTCATTTTATAGAAAATGGTCAATATGTATAGATCAGTGTCTTTAAATTCAAACTCTCTTAGATACAAGAGATACCAATATTTATAGAAGTTTTGTTCAAGAAAGGATATATTTCACAGTCATATCATCAGTATGATTGATGATGAGTCGGAAGATATCCAATTCAAATTGCATGTAGTTCTTATTTACTATTGTTAAAATAAATGACTAAAGTTCCATTAAAGAAACGGTTATATAACTTCTAGTTACGGCATCAATCTAAAAATGCCTCTGCTAGATTCACTGCAGATTCAAAATACACAATACTAAGACTTTGTTCTTTATTGTTAATGTACAGTTGTTGTTTCAGGAAATCGCGACAGTTAGCAAGACATTCTAAATCTAGTAAATTGCTTTTGAATACTATAACTCAGTCATAACTGTACTTTCTTGCAGGCGAGATTATTAAAAAATTGAAATATAGAACAGTTAGCATTGTATGCATATGTGTCAACAAACAATGGGAAATATTAAAGCGGAGAGAGGAAATTGATAATGACATTTCCGACCTTATAAAGACACTTTCTTCGGAAAGAATCCATCTTTTGGAGACAATTCTCCCACTTGTATAAAAATCTTTGCAAGAGTTCATTGGTTTTGATTTAAAATGTCAATCAGTACACAGATTCAGTGTAAAGATATAAGCAGTCTTAGAAAAACATGAATTACACAAAACATGGATTATCTTGCATAAAACAGGAGAATTTACATATTTACAATATTTCATACCAAGTAAACTATAAGTAGGAAAAAAAAACCAGACAACGCTAAATATTTACCACAAAAGTTTTAAGAGTTGGTTGACCGTTATGGAAGATCGGTGTCACAGATGACCACGGATATGTTCCAATCGTCGTAAACACAATACAGTCCCCTTTCCTCGATTATGATATCACCGAATGAGAATTATCACCTATCACCGAATTTGTACTTACAATAAGCAAAATGACGGGTGAAAATATTGGAGCAGGGTCTGCTTACCCTTCCACAGTACCTGTGAAAATCCCTTGTTTCTAGTGGGGTTCAGTTTTCAATGAATTGTTTTGTGGAGTTAATTTTCGTCGTCTTTCGTTTTTGTCATGTTGTTGACAGTTATTCTTCGACTTATGAGTTTTGAATGTCCCCTTGGTATCTTTTGTTTTTCTTTTTAAAGAAAAACGACGAAAAACCTACAACAGTTCACAAAACACTATACAGAAAACAGTCAGGTCAGCAGTTCCAGCTTCACAAGTGTTACCCGACGTTTAACTCTTGTTGAAATACATTGATATTAGACAATTATAGCCGATTAGGAAAGCCTCTTAAGTAATCTACGACTTCACTCTATTCGAAAACCACAGGTCATGTGAATTCTCTTACATTAAAACGTAACCGCTGTTGAAGTCTGATACAAAATCACAGTTTTTTTAGAACAAAGCATAGACAAGAATTTTACCGTTAAAAACAACAAATATATCGAAATACAAAATACTCAAAATACAACAATGTTAAATAATGTAAAAGCAAAAGCATTATGACTCAGTTTAGGTGTAAAGCCAAGTGTTCCAGAAGGTAAGCAATTCCTACTCCACTTGTAGCATCCGTTGTGTTGTTCATTTCAAGGAACAATACGGTGATATTTCGCATTCTAAGGTGTAACAATCGAATGAATAAGGACGGGATCATTGTTACAACGTGAGAGGGAAATCCGCGGTCATTCATTCCATAACTGACAATTAAATCATTATGGCGACCGTAAATTGCTTCAACTTTACTCTAAGAACACTTGGTGCACTAGCATCCTTGTAAGCAGTTCAAGGAAACGAAAGTCATATAGTATCGTCTCAACCGGGAGATATATATTCCATATGCAAGCTCGGCTATTAGATTGCTACAGAGAAATTGAATGGTCTTAGAATTGAAATCGTCTTTAAGTCCTTTTTATACCTGTCAACCTACGCTTACTGTCATTTATTAGATGTAAGTAAAGATATGAGGCAGACTTAATTGTATTTTCGGTAATCTTTACTTCAATTAGTTCAATGAAATAGTTGCGATGAACATACAAGTAGTCAATTTTTATTAGTTATATGAGGTGTCATCATCAATTAATAACATATTGTCTATTGAAAAACACATTACCTAAATTATCAATACAAATCAAGCATCTTGATAATGTCTGTTTCATATATCTTTTTGTTTAAATCAGAATAGTTCAATTTCCACAACCTTCCTTCAAGATATTTAAATATCTGCTTTGGTCATTTATTTAAACAAAATTGGACTAATTTTTTCTATCCGTAGTTAAATTTAGAATAAAGAATACTAGTGTAGGACATAGGTTTAATTCACTCCAACTGAGCTATTTGTATTTTATGACAATATATGTTACAATGTATATAAAAAAAATCTGAATTCTATATGAAACCGCATTTTCTACATAATATCTTGTTTTCAGCTGTTTATGTCACAAATAAAAGCAACAAGAATGAAAGGCGTTTGTAAATCTCTCATGCTCCAATCAGTCATGTTATAATAACAAGTCAACTGTTTCTGTTTTACGATGTTGATCTGTGCTATTCTTTAAAAAAAAAAGATTGAAATATTAAATACGTTAGAAGGAGAGTAACACAAAATTCGAAATAAGAAATTTTAATACTGTAAGCATGCAAAGCAATTAATGATACTGCATAAAGAAATGGTTAATTTCAAATAGTTTATTTTCTTGAACTATTATTATCTCTACGTAGTAATGGAGACATCTGATGATCTTGTTAATTGGTCGTTTTACATTGTCAAATGTATAAGACATTTTTTGTGTTCATGAAAACAAAGAATGCAAGCTACTATACAAAAAATTGGAAGTGCCTATACAAAAAAATATGTGATATGTTGTATCCTTAATTCATTCATATCAATATAAGATGTAAGCATAGTATAACCGTTATTTGAAAACATGCAAGTAATACAATTTTGAAATTATATATAAACAACTGACGACAGATGTGAACAATTAATGACTAAAATATTTTGTGCAAACAATGCAACATTTATGATCACGGGATTGTAGTAACGGCGATTGGAATCGAGAATGGAACAAGGAATGTGTTAAAGAGACACAAACCCGACCAAAGAGAAGAAAAACCCCTCAAGGCCAACAATGGGTTTTCAACGCATCGATAAAGTTCCGCACCCGGAGACGGATTTCAGCTGGCCCTTAAACAATAAGGTATACTAGTTCAGCGAAATAAATTTAAAAAACACACAAGACTATCAAAGGTTAGAGGTTCCTGATTTAGGACATGCGCAAAAATGCAACATGGTTAAATATGTTTTGTGAGATTTCTACCCTATGGAACATATCCGTCGTCATCTGTGAAACAGATATTCCATAACGGTCAATCAACTCGTGATGGCGTCCTTGTTTTCGACGTGTTACTGTGAATTCAATATATCTTAGGAGGAGAATATGATAAGATGGCAATTTTTTTTAACTAAAACCAGAAGGAACAGAGAAGGGGAACATCAGTATGTCACTGTATGCTCTTCAACGACAGGCAATAACCCTACTGCTATAAGCTATGAATGGAGCATGGAATACAAAATAAGAAAAAAAAACTATAACAGCCGTTGTCGTTTTCATTCGGAAGCGACAATCTGTCATCGCTTGATTTCCAAGGACTCTCCTAAATATTCTTGAGTATTCAAATGAACTTGGTTTTCCTGTTTGAATGGTTTTACACTAGTCACATTTGGGTCCCTTTATAGTTTGTTGTTCAGTGTGAGCCAAGGCTCCGTGTTGAAGGCCGTACTTTGACCTATAATGGTTTACTTTTACAAATTGTGACTTGGATGGAGAGTTGTCTCATTGGCACTCATACCACATCTTCTTATATCTAATTATTTCTTTTACTTTCACTTCCAAAATACAAAGCAACCTATACAAGAATACATATTCGTGCATTCTACGTATTATTATTACATGGCAATTTATTTTTAAATCAACCGCTTTCCTAAAAATTTATATGAATGATTACGAAAGGATACGCCTAGTGCCATTAGTAGTAATATACAACATTGAAATCTGCAGCTCTGCAAAAAAGGAAATAGCTAAATTAATTAACTACTATAACAGATTGAACAAATGAGTAGGAGTCCTATTCTTAAATTTTGTACAGGCACGCCCAAGAAAAGAACTGAGTTAATACCTGTTTTACAGCGCCAATCCTCGTTCTTTTAGTTTAAAGTTTGGAAAAAAAACAAATAATCTTTTTAAAG